AAAGTGCTGTTTGTCAGAGTCGCTTCTTCTACAAAATCTGAAGGGTTAAATGTTTTTTTTTCTAAGGACAAGTGGAATCTCTGTGATCTAATGCCATATTCACATTTAAATAATTAAATACATCCAAAATAAGTGAACATGGTCTGTGTTTAGGTTAAAGAGTCCACGTTGGATAGAGGTGGCTGTGAACTCATTATTTTTTCATTATGTTGTCATGTATATGGACACAGGAATATGTCTTAGTGAGACTGTGTACTCCGTCTTCATAACTGGACACAACAAAGCCAGATTCAGTGCTGCTGTATGGGAATGAAACACACACACATATATAAAACCATGTGCACAAATATAAGCAAATTACAAACACAGGAAAGGTTTGATTAACGATTCTCTGTAAGCACAGACTCCAGGGAAAGGTAGTAGTGAGGTCAAAAAAAATTTAATTGCAAATATTAAGAGAAGAGAAATGCACCTTTTAATTTATCCTTAAAAACCCAAGTAGAGCAAACCTACATACTGCACGCCTCAGTGTCTGCACATTATTAATAAAATCTGTTCTTTATTGTCAGCCCTGGTTTGGTTAATTTGTCCCAGGAGACTACGGAAGACTGGAATAATCTCTGCTACGGCAAAGGGGGGAAAATGCATCCGATCCTTTTGTAAGTGAGAATTCCCACATCCTCCGCTCGCAGACCTTTCCTTTGAAAAGCTCCTCTTCTTACCTCCAACGTTGGAATTTTGAACGGTCTGAAGAGAAGGGGAGTTTTACAAATTCTCATGAAATAATATATTCACATCTCTCGTTTGCAGCCCGTTTTAACAGCCGCTCTGGATGAACACGATCCTTTGTATGTGTGCACGCCTCACAGTCAGAGCTGGGCGCGTCCACGCGGTGAAAACTGAGTGGATTTTGTAGTGAACAACCCCCTGCTTATTTGCCGTGGATCATTCCTCGGTGCCTCCACATCCAGGCGAGGTGACAGCGGCGCACAGACCGCACCAGACGCACCAACTCAGTGGCTTGTGGATACGCAGCGGAGCGCACGGCTGAGGACTCTGTGCGCAGTTTAACTTCGACACAAATGGATATTTACGTGGCTTTCTTATACCTTTTCTTCATCTTTACCAAACCAGGTAAGTTCCATCTAGCTGCTACTTTGTGGTCACACTGATGGATTTTAAACAAGTAGGAAAAAAAGGACATCCTATGGTTTTGACGCTCCTAAATTCCCCACCAGGCGCACAAACGTCATCATTGGGGTAATGTTTCAGGATTGTACGGTTCGCAGTTTTGAACGTTAATTATATGATTAAACAAGAAATAATGAGAAAAGTTAACAAAGATAACAGCTTTTACCCTACGTGAGCGCACAGTTCACCTACAGTGGGGAAAACAGGTGATGGCTGCGGCCACGGACGCAGCTCCATCCATTCGTTGTATTTATTTTAAAACTGCATGACTTTTCCAAGACCGGAATTTAAAAATGGCTGCATGCAAAAAAAAGAGAGAGAAAAAAAAGGAAGAAAAAAAAAAGCACCATTTATTGGGTTTTATACATTCTCCTGCAGGCTTAAAAAACGTCATTTCACACACTTCTTCTTTAACCTTCATTTCTCTTCCCCAGCCTTGGGTTCAGATGAAGACTATCACGTCGATATCATCCACGAACTTGACCTGGCAAATGCCACTTATGGAATTACCCAAGTGGCAGGGCTCCACAACGGCAGCAAAGCCTTCATTTTCCGAGGTAACGCATACACACTGACACTGTCATCCTCTGTAGTCAAGTTCAGATTGTCTTTGTTTTCTCGTCTTCATCGCCGAACACACACAGCTTTTATACACACAGACACACACACGCACCAACACTCCCACTCTCTGTTTTACTACAGGAGTTGTGTGTGAGCACAGCCTCGCAGCGCCACACCTCCGTGGAGTCACAGCATTACCTGTGCTCCTGAGTCTAATCACCCCAGGCTTCCTCCTCTCATAATTACTCCACATTTAATTTGTCATGTGCAGCAGATGCCTAGCTGCCTTTTAATAACTGTTTTCAATAACATTTGGTGTCAAGCAACCCTAACAACTGTTAGTAATTGATGGGAAGTGTGAAGATGCAGGTTCCTCCAGAGCCTGAAAACATTGGTTACAAAATGACTTTCTTCAGATAAGGCTGTGGTAACTCTCATGTGGGGCACTCATTTAACCTGGTAACAGAGTTCGTGTCCAACCTTTCTACACTATCTCGCGCCATCGCTCTCTGCGAGCGAGGCTCATAGGTGTTTGAATTGGTGGAACAAACTGTGGTGTTGATGCTCATTTAGTGGGGTTCATTTGAACGTTACCAGCTGCATCTGTGTACTGACACTGCTTGTTGATGACTTACTCCCAACCCCATTCTGCGATGGAGGCACAATCTGTAAAGGAGAGAGACAAAATAAAGATCTAAACTGGAAATTAAAAATGAACCTGAAGTGATCTCACAGCTACTGTAAGTCTGACTCTTAGAAAGACAAAAGGATAACAGAAAAACTGTGGCGGTGGGTAAGGGTTTAGGTTGTTTATGTTGTCAGGGAAGAAAATAGGTTTTACAGCCATTTTTACAGACACAAATAAAGATGTTCAATTTCAAACGTTTCTTTATTTATAAGCTTTAAGATTTGAGAGTGTGACGACTCCACAATAGTACAGGTCAGGTAACAGTTCAATAAGGAAGAAAGAAAGGAAGGTGAAGTACTTGTCATTGTGACACAGCACACAACCAAATGTGACTTCTGTTTTTAACCCATCACCAGAGTGAACAGTGGGCAGCTTTGTGGGGATGGGGAGCAGTGTGTGGGGACAGTGCCATGCTCAGAGCACCTCAGTGGTAACTTGGCAGCTGGTGGACTCGAACCTGAAGCCTTCCAGACCTAACTCCGCTTCCTTAACCACTAAGCCACCACTGGTCAAGGAAGGTGTAAATAGAAAGCCTCAATAATGTAACTAAAACTGTTAAAGTTTGGAAGGGTTCAGGTGTATGCTAGCAGTAGTGTACAGCCTGGCTACCAGAGAGGCTGATGCATCAACTCATTAGAAGTTACAGTACAGTAATCCTGTCCACATGATGTCTCTGGAACACTGACTGAAATGCAGGTTTAGGTGGTAAGAAGGGATTGACTTAATACAACTAAACCAAAATTAATGTTTTGATGGAAAACAAAGTGTGAACAAAACAGGAACTTGCGTCCTAATTGCGGTTGCACTTTGTTTTTAGTTGATAAAAAGTAGCCTCTGCTATCAGCAATGAATAAAGAAAGAGTTTGATGCAAAGTGCTGGTAAAGGGAAAACCAGCTGGCTGCTCATGTGTTTGTGTGCATGAAAAAGGTAAATTCATAAGAACTAGTTATTGATTGTGTCTGTGATGTCTGAATCTTCACCAACTGCTTAAATAACAGAAACTGTCACTGTTTTTCTTGTGCTCCAACCAGTTTTAAAGTGGTGATCAATGTTTGGACTCAGACTAGCGATGTGAGTCTGTTGGTGTGTGTGTGTGCGTGTGTGTGTGTGTGTGTGTGTGTGTGGGGTCTTTTTCTTTTCTTTTGTTTGTCAGAATGCCTGGCTCATCTCGCCTTTGGCTCTGTATGAATGAAGGCCGGAGCAGCTTGGACGTCTCTGCTGAGGCTGAGCTGTCCAGGATGCAGGGTTGGATGCACAGCCTTACTTTAGTTACACACACACACACACACACACATGCTGAAGTCGATTCCTACTCCAACCTCCTCTCCCTGTGGCGTCCATGCTCCCAGGGTCGAGACGAGAGACTAATCCTACGGTGAGAACAGGACCTGTGGTGTTGTCATAGATGCTTGTGTTGTGACCTATTTAACACTCGGGCCTCTTTGCCGTTCTTCTTCTGTGGCCTTGTAACCCAGATTGCTACCAGCGCAGCTGAAGTTAGAGCATCAACTGCAGTAAGTGTTAAATTTGACGCAGCAGTCGTTTACAGTGTAGGACAGACTGTGATAAATGCAGAGTCCAGACGTTCCTGGAGCGCCTGTGACTGATTGGGTCGATGATTATTTAAGCTGATTTATGTATGCTGTATGCAATCATGCTGTGCGCTTGGTCCAATGTCATATTTCATTGCTTTGATTACACAAATCAGGGAAAAACAGATTGTAATCCCCGTAAAATGTCTGCTGCTCTAATTAGTGTCAGTAGATAGATGGAGGGCTAGGCGAAGACTGAGGCTGTGACGTAGGGCTGATATTAAGAAGCTCATGCAATGCATGAAAGGTCACCGCCACAAGTGGTTCAGGAGATTGTAGACATGCAGGGTGGAGGCAGCTGGCACATAGCACATGTTCTGGCCACCAACAGTGGTGCGACCAGTGGCAAACAACTAACAAACAAAGATAGTCAACAAAAAACTGCTGACGCAGTTCACAGCCGTATGTGTTTGTTCCACTCAAAACACACACCTTCATGCATATCACAGTCAGATGCTGCTGCAGATATTCTGCTCTGACAGCAGCTCACAGCAATGATGACGTTGTGTTGAGCAGCGACTAGCCTTAGTGTGAGTGTGCACTTAGAGCTACCATGGAACTCGCTGGCTTTGTGCAACAAGTGCACCATCAGAGAGGGTTTTCAGTGTTGTTGAAAATATTATTACCCCTCTCTGAAATGATACGTCAGTCATAGGCTCAAGGAGTGTGAAATTGTTTTGTGTGTGCCTGGTAGACTTAATTTTGTAGCCTTAAAAGACGTTTCAGAGGAAATTTTGCAATGAAATTGCAATGACTTCAATAATTTAGTAATTAACAAACACCTTTGGTACATACTTACATTTAAAAAAATGGTACTGTGATATTGCATACTGTAATATTGAGCCACCCTGACTTACTGCAGGCAAAATCCTCTGACCGCAACAGCCCTACTGTGACATTGTCTGGATGCTGGGGCCAGTTTTACTGCTGCCAGTAATTAACAAACAACAGATGTTGTACATTATTTTTCCTCAGGCTAATATAACAGCAGAATTATCAGAATTATCAATAGAGAAAAGGAGGTTATAAATTAAAACAAATACATTGTAATCCCTCATTATGTATAACTAATGTACATTTCATTGATAAAAAAAAAAACAGTAAACACATGGCCACATGGTGGAAAGTGGTTTGTCCTTTTGCCTTGCAGCAACAAAATCAGTTGGTTTGAGCCCTAGTGGTAACAGATGGTCTGTCTGCAAAGATTTTACTCTCAAATAGTTGGACTCACTCCAAAGACATGCAGAATTAGGTTAATTGGTCACTCTGAATTCAAGCCAAGGTGTGAATATGAGTGTGAATGCTTTTTTTAATCTCCATATGTGGCCTGGTGATGCACTTGTCCAGGATGTATCCCACCAGCCTATCCTGATGACCGCTTGGACCGGCTGCAGTTCTGAATAAAATTATGCAGTTGAAGCAGAATGAATTAATGAACAACACTTAGTCAGCATTTATTGTAATTGCTCTCTTTACTACCCAAACAACTTCCTAGAGGTGCCTTTGTTCAGTAGTAAAATATATTTGTCCATAGGCTTATGTCCTGTAAATGTGTGTATATATATATATATATGCAAATTTTGTTTGCGCCCGATCCATGTAAACGCTCTATATCCAGAGGCTGTGGTCATATTGTATTGTTGCCAGGTAAACAGGGCGTCAGTGTCGTAATAAATGACCCCGTACTGGGCCATTCAAAGGATGTGTCTGGGCCACATGTAGCCTGTAGACCCCTATTTGGACAGGTTGGCACTAGAATGTTGGGAGTGTATACAAAATCTTTGTAATCTACATAATGATGTGTCCCTGAGTAAAAGACATGATCCTGGCATTTGGGCCAGAACTTCTTGAATAGATCTGACAGATGTGTAATTGATACACAGTATATGATAATGGACAGCTGGAGCCTTCGTTAGAGCCTAGTTGCAGGCAGTAACTGTAATCATCAAGCTGAAAAACTATCACAGTGTTGATCCACTTCATGAATCTGTTTTATGGCATACAAAGGTTGAAAAAAAAAAAAACATGAATTATATATATTTATATTGTAGTTGGCTTATGATTTGATTGAGTAAATTGTAGCATCCCTAAAGTCAAGTAATGAGGATCAAGTTTTAGATTCCTTCCTAATTATGTCACTCTTTTATGTTAAAAGCTTCTACATATAACCAGGTGTCCCTACTGAACCACTTCAACTGCTACTGATTTTCATGTTCTTCGCTGACTTTCAAAAATTGTAATGTTAATGAAATAGACGCTGCAGATGAGGACAGAAATCTGATAACTGCAAATATATGAAAGCACCTCATTTCAAGACCTGAAAAGCCGATATATATTATATCTATGCTGTCTGTCCTAATATTGATTTTCACTTGTATTATATACGTATATTCATCTTCAACTGCTTAAAGCTGAATTTGTGTGGAGGCATGAAAAAAAGTTTAATCAAGAAAAAAAAGATGCACAACTCGGCCTCTATTATTGATAAATGTGAAGGAATCATGCAGAAACATTTCGTAAACCTTTTGGTTATTATTTGAGCAAGTGAGGATGTTCAAGCCCCCGTCATCCCATCAAAAATCTTGACATATTACATTTCAAATTTATTGAACACCAAGTAACATCATATTTTATAATGAATCAAAATCAATAACATCAAAGTTCAGAAAGAGAAAATAAAAGTGCAGTTGTGCCATCAATACTTGAACCTTCTGT